TGCATTAAAACTCTGTTTTTGGTTATATAGCTCATACCATGCTTGCTTGGGGTAGGTGTTGAGTAATGCTCCCATTTGTGGCCTTGAATGCTTTTCATTTTGCATCTATTCCCTAGCATGATTTGGCATCATCATTCACATGTTTTTTTTTTTTTTTTTAGAAGTTAACATGACTGTTTAATGTCCATGCTTACCACCTCTGAGTGTTCTTGAGAGTAGCCTTCCATGCTTGGGTTTTTGGCTCATTGGTGTGCATGTTTGCATGAGCACTTGTCCACCATTTCTGGCACTTTTGGCCACTGTTTATGGCAAGGCTGAGGTCTGTCCTTCATGGTTTAAGTCCACCATTACATGTTTGTCATATGTTTGTTGCATATTTGGCTCATTATGTGTTGCCACATGCTAGTCCCATTGCATATTTGTCCATGCTTACTACATTGCATGTTGCATGCTTTAGTACATTACACATTGGCATGTTTAGTTTGCATTGCATTTGGCATGCCTTGCTTACTTAGCTTCATGTTGCATATTTGACCCATGTTGCATATGTGAGCTACATTGCATACTTGCATTACATTTTGCTTGGTTTGGGGTGTTAAACCAAGCCTGAGAATTGAGGAGTGCTCGTACTTAAAGTGACGAAACACGTCTCAATCCTCGGTCGCCGATGCGCTTGATCTCAACATGATAGGGTGTTAGCATTTATTTGTTTGTTGCATGCATTTACATTAAGTTGCAAACTTGGTACCTTTGGCCATCATGCATTGAAATGCGTGACTGGTGGCCCGAGTACCTAGAGTCGCACTCCCTTGAGTCCTTAGCATGATAGAGAGAGTGGCCATGCACACATTTGCTTGAAAATTCCATGCCATACACTGTTTGCCCTCTACTGCTGTCAATTGCAGGATTCTACAGGAAGCAATGGCCGACCGGCCATCTTTAGTGCCGACCGGCCATCAATGCCCAACCGATGACACCATCTTTGGCCGATAACCTTATTCCCATGGCCGGTGGCACTCCACAACACTCAAAAGGAAGCTCAAAGCAGTTCTGGAGACTTTCATAATTTTCAGAGGGGTGAGGCAGTGTAAACAGAGACAACAGTGGCATGGTACGGGTTTCCGGGCAAGGCGGATTGAGCATGCATCATTCACGCATCCCGAGGCAGGGCTGCAACCATCTTTCTTTTGCATTTCATTTGTTAATTAATTAGAAGTTCTGTAATAATTAATTTAGTAGTATTCATTTGGTTGTGTAATATTTATTCGGACCCTCCGAGCGAGGGCAATTGTGTAATAAGTGTGCGTGAGTGTGTGTATGTCTTCCAACCCCACGTCTTTCTTCCCTTTTATTTACCTGCTTTCAATGGTTAGTATTAGGGCATATTTAAATTAGCATACCTTATGCTATGCATGCATGCGTTCATACATTTATCTTGCATGCACCGGGCTCGGCGCATCATGCTAACTGCATTGTATTTCAATCCCAAATTGAATACATGTTATCTGTTGCATTTCACATGCCATGTTTAGAATAGTCGAGCCTGTCCAGATTGCATCTTTGCATGTGTTGCATTAGCCATTTTTAACACGAACTAGGATCATGCATATGATTACTAACTAGTTTCTGTTTTGGCTTGGAGTACTAGGTAAGCTTTTTATGCTTTAGCATGCCACATGTGTGTGAATGTTGCCATGATATCATAATTACCATGAGGCTAGCAGCTTATGTGATATAACTGCCTGAATGCCTGCGGGTGGAGGTTTGGTTATTTGAATTGGGACAATGCATTAAATGCGAGTTTTAAGCCCACTTGAGGGTGGCAAAATTCATGTCTTAGCCTACTTGCGGGTAGCACCATCAAACCATTTTCAAACAAATAAACATGAAATGTTTTGTTCCAATTTAGGCGACCTAGTCTATACTTGTTTGCTGTGCGCATAACATAGTAAATCTAGGCTAATAACCGGAATAAGAACATGTAATGTTTTCAAAACAAGATATCATGGTTAGTAGAGGCCGATCTTTGATCGAGCGAGAGGGGGTGCTCATAGCTGACCTTCCCCAATCATACCCAAGTTCCTGAGCCAAGGCCACTTTGGTGATGACGGACACGTGGCCTTAGGCAACGAGTCCGGGTTTCCTAAATTTCCCCAAAAATAAAATATTTAGGTGGCGACTCTGTATCTGGAAAAGTAGTCTATGTTTGGCACTTCTTTTCTAAAAATCTGTTTTTCTCAAAACGATTTGCCGGATTTGGACTCTTTGGTCAGATTAAGAACCGTAACAATTTGAGAGTCCTGAACTGTAGTGAACCCACAAATGAACAGAACGGGACTCATCCTCCCGGGGCGTTTGGGGATGTCTATAGTTTCTGGCGATTCTGCTGGGGATTGTTTGGAGAGCTTGACTCGAATTCATGATATCTCGTTTTGACTACACTTATGTGTTTCTTTGCATTGCATGTGCATTGGTGCACCTAGGACGTCGTGTTTGCCATCTACCATTCCTGAACAGTTTGCCGGAGGCTTGTCTTGTCAAGGCATGACCATAAGGCTGACCAGTTGTGGGCTCTGCAAGTATGGGAACACAAACCCCGGTTTTTACCGGGGCACCCTTTTTGACCATTCGACCTAGTGCATATCGAAATCGGTAGTGACCATTCCAAACTAGGACAGGTTGCTTACCCGATGTTAGGTTGTTTGAAACCGCTGCGTGCGTAGCGAAACCGTAGCTCCTGACAAAATAGGACAGGGAAACCCTACCCCAACATAGGTGTGTTTTGGCTCCCACTTATCTGCTATGTGCTTTAGAGTGTGTCTCTACAGGAATACGTGTATCAATTTGCAAGTTTGGGCATCAGGCCGGCGGGCGCCAGTTCAGTGTTTGAGAATCAGTTATTTACGGGTATCAGGTTCAGTTTTGGGAACAGTGATTCGGGGACAATAATCAGTGTTGAGGAACAGTGTATTCAGCTTATCAACCGTGTGTTGTGACACACGACTGTGTGTTGTGTGTATTTATTTTACGCTGTTATGCTGCCCGTTTGTTTGGTTATTTATTTCCTTATTGCTTTATTTATCTTTTTGCTAGGTAGTTTAGCACGATTGCTTCGGACCCAGTAGATATTCCACAAGCACTCTGGACTAGAGGTCGTTGGCTCCATCGATCTGAGGATATGGTAGACGGACAACCAGTGTTTTACTCCTTACCCTCGGTTGTCAGACGGAGTTCAAGAAGACGCAGTGTATCGATACCAGGATTGCCAGATCAGTGGTCTATGAACAGTCAGGTTGAAATTCTCGAGTCTACTACAGAGGCAGACACACCGGCGGTTCAGATAAACTAGGGTAGTATGTTAGGGATGGAAGATATGGTGTGCCAACTCCAGGAAAGCATGAAAGCCATGCAAGAGGACGCTGTTCGCCAAGCAGAATTCGCCAAACAGCAAGCCGTTGTTATGGCCCAACAGGCAGAGTTAATCACCAGGCTACAGCAACAAGCCGGGGCATCTGCTTTGCACCAAGCTCCTCCCCCAGCAAGAGTCCCAATACCTGAGGAGACGACAAGCGTCCAGAATGCTCAAGAAGATACAGACATCCCAATGGGGCCCGCTCCGCCTCCAATTCTACCGCAACTATCCAAGGCACCCACGCCTATCAATGCACCGGATTCTCCCTTCAAGTTCGAAGTGGACCCCACAGCATTAAAACTGAGCAAGCTGGAAAAGATGTTTAAGAAATCCCAGGGAGTCAAGACCATCCCTGACATTGAAAATGGATATACCGACGTAGCTGTGACGCTGCCGGACAGATTCAAGATGCCGCATATCGACCAATTTGATGGATTCGGGGATCCAATGGTGCACCTGAGGTTGTTTTCAGATATCTTAAGGCCGATGGGCCTCACCAAACTACAGAAGCTATCTTTGTTCGACCGAACCATGTCGGGTGTGGTGGCCATCTGGTACGCCAAATTAGAAGAAGATGTCAAGAGAAACTGGCATGTGATGGCTGAGGCCTTCATTGCACAGTACTCATATAACACGCAAATCGAGATTACGACCCGTGACCTCGAGACGACAAGGTAGGAGCCTAAGGAGAGCTTCTCAAAGTTCGTGACCAAATGGAGGGCCAAGGCCTCGATGATGACCCTAAGGCCCACAGATAAAGATCAAATTACGATGATTGTGCGCAATCTCCAGCCTAAATTGATGCAGAAAATGATCGTGCTCTCCCTCCCTACCTTTTCAGATCTGCATGAGATGGGAGTACAGATTGAGGATGCCTTGAAGCAGGGCTTAATTGATAATGACCGGGACCAACCACGAAGAACTTTTAATCGCAACAACAATGCAGGCCCGAGCAGCGCTACAACTACAAGGGCCTCCGAAATGAGCATGGTCACCACCACCCCCCCTCCATGACCCATGGCAGCCACGCCATTCTCCTGTGTGTCCAGAAACCATACACAAACAGCCAAATACCCACCCAAAAACCAAAGAGCCTTCGCTCCATTGTATATGCCCCTGTCCAAAGCTCTGGGGGATTTATTCAGAAAAAGGCACTTGAAGCCCCTAGAGCCGCGGCCATTACCGGAAAAACTTCCCCCTACCCACAACCCAGCCAAATATTGCGCATTTCACCAACAGCACGGTCATGACATCGACCAATGCTTCCGATTACATCATGAGGTTCAAGATCTCATCGATAACGGGGTGATTTTGCCTCCCGAGAAACCTAATGTTACAACAAACCCTCTCCCATCACACAACCAAGCTCTACCTCCCAAAAGAATCAATTTTATCCAGACTGGGGTCGTGTCTTACGATCCTAGCATATATATCACTCTTTTCTACCTACCTAAGCCAGAGGTGTTCCTTCCTGACTACACTAACTTGTGCATGTTAGACATCTCCAGAACCCAACCTGAACCAACGGTGGTGACTATCGAAGACAGAACAGGGGAAGTTTCAGAGGAGAATGGGATTGTTGAGCCAGAATCTGAGGAATCTGGGAGTTCTGCTGAGGAAGCCTACAATCCGAGTGATTATATTCTGTCAGCAGGTCAGGTTCAGCCCGTTGTAGGATTGTCGGAGAGTGTAGAGCTGTGTATGATCCGAGGAGATGGATTTGAGCAGGGGACAGATAATTTGACGGCTATGGAAGAGGACCTTGCCAACCTCCAACTTTTCAATGACCAAGATCCAAGGGACGCAGCAATCAACTGGTTTGATTATGAGGAATCAGCGGAGGCTACCGGGTGGTTGGATGATCAACTAGATGTTATGGAAGAGTTCCAACCAGAATGAGTCCCGGTAGGGGCGAGAATGTCAGTGACGGCCGGAAGGGCCGAAGAGAAGAGTACATCGCCAGAGAGTGCCAATGTCGAGAATTTCGCTCAGGATCAGAGCATTTTGAATACAGGAGTTATTAAACAGTCAGCTATACTGACACAGTTGGAACAGGAAAGGTTTGAGGATTCTGAGAGAATCAGGAAAGCTAAAGGCCATGAGGGGACTGAAACTGCTACGTACACAAAAACAGAGAATGATGCGAGCATATGGATGGAGGGTACTGCAAGTACGAGAGCAGTCATACTAGAGCCGGACCGGTGTCTGTCGGTTGCCGATGGAATGCAGGGGGAAGACGATGATTTATGTCTTGCCCACACGGATGAGGATTGGGGGAATAACCAACCAGATGATACCTGGTACATCGGCGAAGTCGATCATATGACTAAAAGTGGACGGTATTTCAAGCCCCTACATCTAGATCAGCCAGAGGCGTTTGGGAAAGATAAGGAGGCGGAGAAACAAAAAGAAAAGCAACTCGAAGATGAGGCCGTCCTGAGACAGTTAAAAAAGATACAAGCAGACATCTCCATTTGGGGGCTGCTTATGGCTTCTCGAGTACATAGACAGGCCGTCTTTTCAGCCATGGGCAAGGCCAAACTCTCGATAGACACCACGCCCGAGCAACTGGTGGGCTTAGTTTTTCCGGGAGGAGCTACCTCGATGTTAACTTTCTCCGACAAGGAATTGCCACCTGAGGGTGCGAATCACAACAAGCCACTCTACATCTCTATGGAGTGTAGAAACAAATGGATACCTGTGGTACTTGTCGACACAGGATCCGTCATCAATGTGTGTCCGGCAAGAACTGCATATGCAATCGGTTTAAAGACCGCAGACTTCATGCCAACTACCTAGGTGATTCGGGCGTATGACAACACGAGCAGAGAAGTAATGGGAACAGAGAAAATTCAGACCAAGGTTGGGCCGGGGCAGCATGAAATTGCATTTCACGTCTTAGAGGTTCTTGCAACTTTCAACCTGCTTCTGGGGCGGCCGTAGCTGCATCAGGTGAAGGCAGTGTCGTCCACCTTCCATCAGATGGTGAAATACCCCCATGGGAAGGGAGTGGCCATTGTTTTTGGGAATTCGTCGATCCATCCACCACCAGAAGTATCCATACCTGTTTTGGAAATTGAGCACGGTATGGAGGATGTGTTCATGTCAGGTTTTACCTTAGCTGAGGCTCGGGTTGTGCGGAACATCATGGCGGCTAATAAGGGGGTGTATGTCAGTGCTCAATCAGTATACCTCATGAACAAGCTTTAACACATCCCCGGGATGGGATTGGGAAAGAGCGGCCGGAAGGGCATCGCGCAGCATTGGCCGAAGTGCCACACAACCCACATATCTTTGGTTTGAGTTATCTACCCACCAAAGAGGATTGGATAAGAAAAGGGAAGGAGATGACTGGAAGAGCTAGAGCGAAACAAATGGGGAAGCCTTTTGAGTTGATGCACCGGCCCATCCAGGGTACCCTAAACGGACGCTTCGTCTGGGAGGGGGAGGACTTTCCATTTTGTGGCTTCCCAGAGCCATGGTTGAACACAGAGAGGAAGCGCGTGCCGGAGTTTGAGATCTTTTTCGACCTGCAGTTATCCGGGGATGACATTGCCGAAGAGCAGACGGACCCATTAGCTGAGGTTGGGCAGGACATGAAAGTTGAGTCTGAGGACTTTGAAATTGAAATGGGGGTAGCGCTGGCTTGTCTACTTTCAGATCCTCCGATCAAACAAAAGTGCTTGGGGGATAACTTCTCGGTGTCCATGATTGGGAATGAAACGGCTGCGGGCCTACCATCAAGCATTTTGGATGCATCCATCGCACCCTCTCTGATTTGGCAGTACGAAGAAGGATTTTTGTCAAGTAGCACCGGGTCAGGTAGTGAACCGGAGTCTGATTCCACCGAGTCTTGTGAGTCAGAATCAGGTTCCGGCTCGACTGAGTCTGAGTCCGGTATTCGTAGGGGTGACAACCCGAATGCCATAGTCCTGTCCAAGTCGTCTTTTTCTTTCTCTTTTGAGTCTGTTGTAACAGAAGAATCAGACGGTTTGGAAATACTTAATGAGAATGATGTGGATGTGGTTTCTGAATACTTTTTTGTGCCTTTGATTTATTGCTTGAATCAGGACTTTTAAAATTTTGATAAAAACGATGAGGAAGAAATTCTTCCGGTTTTGTAACGATTAATTGATCAAGAGCAGGAAAGGTTTGTTAAACCTTTAGTTGATGAAATCGCTACTGTGAATGTCGGTACTGAGAAGGACCCGCGGCTGGTCCAGATTTGGTCCACGTTGTCTTCAGAGGAACGCGAGCGCTTAGTCGCTTTATTAAAAGATTTCAAAGATGTTTTCGCGTGGTCCTACGAAGACATGCCTGGAATCAATCCTAAGATTGTACAGCACCGGATCCCTCTTGACCCCGAGGCCTGACCCATCAAGCAAAAACTCAGAAGGATCTGCCCCGACTGGGCCATTAAGTTAAAGAAGAGGTCACCAAGCAAATCGATGCAGGCTTCCTGCTAGTGTTCGAATATTCGACTTGGTTGGCCAATATCGTTCCAGTGCCGAAGAAGGATGGCAGGATCAGGATATGCGTGAATTTCAGGGACTTGAACAGTGCCAGTCCGAAGGACGACTTTCCCTTGCCCCATATTGATGAGTTGGTAGACTTCATAGCGGGGCATGCTTTGCTTTCGTTCATGGATGGCTTCTCAGGCTATAATCAAATAGTGATGGCACTTGAAGACCAGGAAAAGACTGCATTCACCACCCCGTGGGGGACATACTGCTACAGAGTAATGCCGTTTGGGCTGAAAAATGCTGGAGCTACATATCAACAGGCTGCGACCACAATATTGCATGACATGATCCAGAAAGAGGTTCAGGTGTACGTGGGCGACATGATCGTCAAATCCAAAGAAAGAAAGGGCCACTACACCGCCTTACAAAAGTTCTTTCAAAGGATCAGAGAATTTCGGTTGCGGCTGAATCCTTAGAAGTGTACGTTTGGTGTTACAGCAGGAAAGATACTGGGGTTTCTGATTACACAGAGAGGTATCAAAGTCAACCCTTCCAAAATCAAGGCCATCTTAGAAATGCCACCACCGAGGACTGAAAAGGAGGTGCGAGGCTTTTTGGGTAAAGTGCAATTCATAAGACAGTTTATCTCAAAATTAACCTTGACTTGTGAACCACTTTTTGGCCTCCTGAAGAAAGGAAAGAAATTCCAGTGGGACAGTCGATGCCAAGCTACTTTTGAACAGATCAAGGAATACTTACAGAACCCACCTGTGCTGTCACCGCCTGAGCCGGGGAAGCCGTTGATTCTGTATCTTCTAGTAACTGAAGCTACAATGGGTTGTATGCTCGCGCAAGAATCAGAGGACAAAGTGGAAAGAACCATCTACTATCTGAGCAAGAAGATGCTAGAATATGAGACTCATTACACGCCATTAGAGAAAGCTTGCCTAACTTTGGTATGGGCTACCAGGAAGCTGCGGCACTACCTGTTAGCTCACTCCGTAATGTTGGTCTCACGACTGGATCCCATCAAATATCTTTTCGAGAAATTGGCACTTACGGGTAGGCTGGCTCGTTGGTTGCTGTTACTTTTCGAATTCGATCTGAAATGTGTGACGCGCAAGTCAGTCAAGGGAAGAGTAGTGGCAGAATTTTTAGCTGATCATCTGGTGGAAGGGGGTGAAGCAGTTGAGTACTTATTCCCAAATGAGACCATTTTACATATCGAAGATGAAACTTGGACGATGTACTTTGACGGAGCGTCAAACCAGTACGGGTATGGGATAGGGGTGTTGCTAATAGCACCCGACAATTCCCGTATCCCTTTAATCTTCAAACTCCGATTCAAAGTCTCAAACAACGAAGCAGAATATGAGGCGTGCATTGCCGATTTAGAAGCAACCCTAGAACTAGGGGCAAAACGGTTGGACGTCATCGGGGACTCGAACCTTGTTGTGTCTCAAGCAAAAGGAGATTGGAAGGTCAAAGAAGAAAAGATGATAATATACAACCAGACCTTTGACTTGTTGATTCCTCGGTTTGAGAAGTTAAACTTTGCTCATCTAGTAAGAGAGAACAATAGGTTTGCAGATTCACTAGCAACTCTATCTTCCATGATAGACATCCCGTTTGGAGTCCGGATGCGTCCGATCATCATTGACCAAAAGTTTGCGCCAGCATATGAATCAATTGCTGCCATAGATGAGGTTCAGGACGAGAATCCTTGATATTACGATATTTGGAATCTCTTGGAGAAAGAGGCGTATCCACCAGGGGCGAATGCCAAGGATAAAAGGCAATCAGAAGAATGGTCATTCAGTTTATCATTTGCGGAGGTAAATTGTATAAAAGAGGGTATCTGGGAATGCATAAGCTGTGTGTTGAAGCTGAGGAATCAAAACACCTGATGGAGGTCATCCATGGTGGGGAATGCGGTGCACATATGAACGGGGTAATGCTAGCCAGGAAGATCCTCAGACAGGGTTACTACTGGTCGACTATGGAGGAGGATTGTATCGGTTTTGTTTGGCGATGCCACAAATGTCAGATCCATGCAAACCGCATGAACATTCCGCCGTCGAAGCTGTACAATATGACTTCGCCATGGCCATTTTCGGTTTGGGGAATTGATGTGATCGGAGCTGTTACTCCGAAGGGGACAAATGGGCATGAGTTCATCCTTGTCGCGATAGATTATTTCACAAAGTAGATTAATGCCGAATCTTATGCGGTGTTGAAAGCGTCGCATGTTACAAAGTTCATCAGAAACATCATTTGTCGCTACGGGGTCCCAAACGAGATCATTTCAGATAATGGTTCCCACTTCAAGAAGGAAGTGATTGACTTGTTGGAAAAATACAATGTGGCTTTTCATAAGTCATCCACATACCGGCCGCAAACCAACGGAGCGGTTGAGGTTGCCAACAAGAATATCAA